AAAAAAAAAAAAAAAAAGTTTGCTTCCATGAATCTGATTCAGTACTTGATTCGTGATTCTGGGTGAATCGAATATTGGGTGAAGAGCATGACCAGTAGATCAGTGTTTGTATAGAATTAGCTAACCATGGTCCTTGTTGTTCCAACTATATGCATTTTCAAGCATTTCTTGAGTAGACATAAGTATCCAACGATATGCATTTTCATTCCTCAACCCTTTTTTCTCCTTTGTTTTGGGCATCTATTGGAAATTTCCAACTTCCGTTTTACAGGATGCACAGGAGACTCGTCCATGGATTCCTGACAAATGCAAGCACCATGCTGTGCCCCGAAGGCGAAATCCACATCACTCACAAAACCACGACCCCATTCAACAGCTGGAAAATCGAGGATCTTGCTCTCGATTGCTCTCTGCTTTGCATCGGCCGAGACGATTTCAAAATTGAAGACTACCCAGGTTACCAGAACAAACGAGGGTCGGGCCTCAGGCCCGACGACCCGTTCCTTCTGGGAGAGTGCTGCACGTTTAGGTTCAAACAATTCCCGAGAATCAGAAGGGATTTTGGACCCGAGCACTATGTTCCCAGCTGTTCGGACGAGTGCCGTTGGATATTTGGCCGCTATCTTGACCACGTGGAGGACACATTTGGGAGGAATATGAGTAGCGACGAAGTTTGCTTTGTTGTTCGTGAGGCGTTGAGGGTTGGGTACGAGACATACATGGGCCTATTTAGCTCGGGGCATGGAAGGCCCCTGAGGGACTATATCGACATTTTGGAGGAGCTTCACGCTATTAGTGCTTTGAGGTCCAAGAGATTGTTGCAGATGCTATCACGTCTTGACCGGCAAGCTGACTTCAACGAGTGGGGTCCGTGAACTCAGTATCTTTTTATCTTTGGTTAGATTATCTGGAACTTCTTTTGTGGATGCATTTTTTTGATTTGTTCCCGATAATTTCATCTGATCCGTTTTGCTGAAAGTCTTTTTGCGTCTGTTAATATCGTATCTGACTTTGATCGACTGCTCAATGATTGGCGTTGGCAGAAATTGTCCGAATGTGTTCCGGATTAGTTAACGAATCGTGAAGCCAAAGAGGGGGCGAATGTTAATGTATATACTGATTTTATATGTATTTCTTTTGTTGATTTTTCAGGAAAGCTTAGAACATAGCTTAGGAGAGTGAATAAGTTCATTCGAACTGTTGCTAGTAAGTAATAAACCTCATAAAGAAGACTGACGATCATTTTACATGAAGTAATGAATGCATGAACAAAAATGGTAATAATGGTGTGTAGCTGATTATATATGATATAACATCCAAAATAGTTAGGTGGACCTGTCTGATAGTTAGCTCGGGTACGGCCGGTCCAAAAGAGTTTTAGCCCGATTACTATAATTTATAGATATATGGTTTTAGTTTAATACTTATAAAGATTTAGGAAACATTTATAAGAGATATTTAAGTAAGTTGAGCGATTATGTAGGATTCAACTCTTTGGTATCTATATATATATATATAT